CTCTTTTTCTCGCTCTATCTCTCTATCTCTCTCTCTCTATCTATCTATCTATCTACCTATCTATCTATCTAGCTGGCTATCTATCTATCTATCTATCTATCTATCTATCTATCTATCTATCTATCTATCTATCTATCTATCTATCTATGTCTATCTCTACCTCTTTTCTCTCTCTCACTCCCTCTATCTCTCCCTCTTTCTCTCTGCCTCAATAATATCAAAACATATATATATTTTGTTATAGATACAAATTAAAACACAAATTTACTCTCTCCCAACCACTCTATTCCCTTTTCTTCACCAAACCTTCCCCTTCTCCCCCTCCCCCCTTTCTCCCTCCTCCTCCCCCTCCTCTCCCTACCCCCCCTTCCCCCGACTTCCCGATTAGGTCGAAGGAGGATGTCTGAGAGATAGCTAAGTGGGTCATCCTCCTCCTCCTCCTCCTCCTCCTCCTTCTCCTCCTCCTCCTCCTCCTCCTCCTCCTCCTTTTAGTTCCTTCTTCTCGTTCTTCCTTTTTCTTGTACTTCCCCAAGTCTTATCTCTTTCATTCTTTTTTTTTCTCTCTTGTCTTTCTTTCTCTGTCTCTCTCTTTTTTTTTTTCTTTCTGTCTTGGTTTGTCTCTGTCTCTGTCTCTTTCTCCCTCTCTCTGACTCTGTCTTTCTCTCTCTTATCTCTTTCATCTGTTCTCTCTCTCTCTCTCTCTCTCTCTCTCTCTCTCTCGCTCTCTCTCTCTCTCTCTCTCTCTCTTCTCTTCTCTCTCTCTCTCTCTCTCTCTCTCTCTCTCTCTCTCTCTCTCTCTCTCTCTCTCTCTATATATATATATATATATATATATATATATATATATATATATCCTCTTCTCTTTATACCCCATTTTTTTCCCCATTTCCTCATCCTCCTATTTATCCCTCCCCCTCCCTCTCTTTATATACCTCCTCCTCCTCCTCCTTTCTCCCCTCTCCCTTCCTCCTTCTCCCCTCTCCCCTCCTTTTTACCCTTCCCCTTTCCCCTCCCTTCCCCTCCTCCTTCTCCCCCCCTCCCTCCTTCCCTCCTCTCCTCCCCTCTCCCCTCCCTCCTCCCCTCCCTCCCCTCCTCTCCCCCCTCCCTCCCCCCTCCCCTCCTCCATCGTCTTTGAGGAAGGAAATCGACGTCTTCAGATAATCTTCCGCGCAGGAGGACGGAGGAGGAGGAGGAGGAAGGAGGAGGAGGAGGAGGAGGAGGAGGAGGAGGAGGAGGAGGAGGAGGAGGAGGAGGGAGGAGGAGGAGGAGGAGGGGGGGGACCGGGAGACGAGAGGCCCCTGATAACTTAATGGCTGGAAACGCGTCTTGATCCTTGGGGCGGGGGATAGGGGAGAGGGGAGGGAGGGGAGGGGGTGTGAAGAGGGAGGGGAGGGGTGGAAGGGGAAGGGGAAGGGGGAGGGGGGTGGAAGGGGACCAGAATAAAGATAATGAATTACGTAAGACCGATAAACTAACCATTCCAACAACATTCTAAATACGTAGCTACCCCCTCCCCTCGCTTACCACCGATCCCTTCTAAAAAAAAAAATGGAAAACACACAAAAAAAAATAATAATAATAAAAACGAAACACTGAAAAAAAAATTGAAAACCAAAAAAAAAAGAAATTAAAAGACAAAAAAAATGAAAACAAAAAAATAAAATAGATATTAAAAACAGCATATAACTATAAAAAAGCACAATAAAATTAAAAAAAAAAAAAAACTGAAAATACACAATTTCACTTACTTCTCCAAAGATAATCTAAAATAAAAACTAAAAAAAAAATAATAATAATAATAATCCTGACCTTCTCTTCGTCTCTTTGACACCTTCACCTCTTACCCCCCCCCCCCCGCCGCCGTCAACTTCTTGCAGGCGTGATAGCAGGTGACCTCTTGACCTCTCGTGACCTATTGACCCTCTGGTAACTTGCAGGTGCGACGGCGTTTGATCTGGTCAAAGGTCAAAGAAGATAAAATAGATAGATAGGTAGATAGATAGTTGAAATAAATAGGTCAATAGATAGGTGGAATGGATAGATGGATGAATAGAATACTCATTGATAGATTGGCAGGTTGGTAGGTAAACAGATATATAGATACATTAGATGAATAGATAGATAGAGAGAGAGAGAGAGAATAGATAAAAATTGATAGATAAATAGACTGGATTAGCGCGTTTTCTGTTGCGTGGATTTAGTGAGCTGACTGTCTTTTTTCATATGTTTTAAAGCTGGATTTTTTAGGTATTATTATTGCCACTTCTCTCTTTATCTTCCAAGAGGTCCCTTTCACACGAAGCAGTAATTCGAAATTTGATTCATCCATTTCGATTGTTTGCTTCGTCTGATAAAAACGTCAAGTTCGATTTTTCTTCATATTGTGGCTGTGTTTCCTTCGTTACTACTGTGTTTGTTTGTAAATCCTGCATCCTCCCCCCTACTCCACTTCCCCCCTTCTCTCCCTCCTTTCACTCCTCCCTCTCCTCTCCCTCCCCTACCCCAACCCCCTTCTCCCCCTCCACCCTTTCTCTCCCCTCCT